TGTGACCCGGAGAAAAGTCGGGGCTGCCCTCTCCTGTGACGTTGGCCGTGGCTCTGCAGGGGAGCCCGTGGCACAATAGGAACCGGTTTGACACCGGCAGCTCATCCTGAGCGAAGAGAGGCCAGATGTCTTATTAAATGGCCGCCTTGTGGGGAAGGCCCAGCATGCCTGCTGGGAATCGGGGCGGACAGCGGTCTTAAAGCTGGGGCAGGCTTAGCAGGCGTGGCAATGCGTGTCAGCCTCCCCACTGGCGGGGTAACTAACGGGCCGTGTCAGGACTCGGTGCCGAGTCCCGGCCGATAGTGCCCTGGTCAGCGAGGGGCATCGGCCATGCACACGAGGGGGACACCTATCTGGCCCACATCTGTGAACGGGAGGGACCGGTAAGTCCTGGGTCACGGCTCTTGGACTCTTATCTCCAGGGCTCACCTGCCAAGTAAGTATCCCCGCAAAACTCCCAGGGGAGCGAACTGAACTCCACCCCTCCCTGTCCCACCCGAGGACAGTCAGAATGAAGCACCTTCATCGGACCTAGTTCATCGTTTTAATGCAAATCTGCAAACGCCAGCATCTCACGTGGATCATACGTGATGACGAGGCAAGTGGGAAGCCCAGCTCTAGGATGCCCCCCTGCCTCACACAGACGCAGCAATGCCCACATGCAGGAATGCCCACTCGCAGCAATGCCCAGCCCAGCCTGACGCCCCTTCTCGGCAGACAGACGGCCTCTCCGGCCAAGCAGCTGGCACCTCGGGTGGCTCAGGACCTCACGACAGCCGGCGCTGCCCGCAGTGTCAGCCTTTGTGACTTTTACTGTGAAAAGGTCACAGACCCACACTCCCCAGCAAAACCTGTGGACACAGAAGAAGCCCGTGCACTCAGCACCCGGCGCCCTCCAACGCCGAGGTCGCCACGGAGGCGGCGCGGTATTTAGACCGGGGAGCTGCTTGGCGCAGTCCTACGCGGGCTCGCCGGGGAGGATCCCCCACTGCAGAGTCGCCGGTCCAGTCTTAGCTGCCCCGCACCCCCGCCCTAGCCGCCACGTGACTTCCTGTGGGGGAGTCACCTACCTTCCCGGTGTGCAGCCGACGGGGGAGGACCTTCCAATAGGAAGCCAGTGACCTTTCTCTGTCCCGAGTCTCCAATTCTGCATCCAAAGCGGGGAGGGGCACAGCCATCTATCCAGTGGTGACTGCCCCCACCCTGGAGTCGGCAGCCAGGAACCCCGAGAAGCCCTCGGTGACCCTCAGCGACCCTAGATGCCCCAACAGCGCCCCTCCTCCCTCTGAGACCCGAAGCGACTGAGGCTCAGAGAAAGGATCGGATCTGCCTCCAGCCCCAGCCGCAGCCCAGAGCCCGTGGCCACAGCCAGGGCTTCCCACGCCCGCCCCCTCCCACCTCAGTGTGTGCTGCTGTGTGTGCGCCCGTGATTGAGGGTTCTGCTGCTGCCATTACACATTTCATTTGCGTCCCTCGCAGCTTCCACGCTGGTTTCTGCTCAGCGAGGAGCTCGTCCCTCAAGGCCTTTGAAACGGCCCGCAGCGGGAGAGCCGTAATTGCCCACCGAGGCGGCGGCCGGGCCGCTGCCGGCAGAAACAGGTCCGCTTGGCTGCTGCCCAGTCCCTCTACCTGCCGCCTCCGGAACAAAGCGGGAGCCCCGGGGAGCCCGGCTGCGGAGCAGGCGCAGCCCCGTGTCCTCCCCGCGCTCATTCACATCTCCTCCCTGCGCCTTCGGGCCCTCTGCCACACATGCTCTGGGCAAAGGAATTAACTTCTGAATTAACCAAGCGAAATGGTATATAACACACAAGCCACGGGAGAAGCAGAAGGCAAGCAAGCAAAGGAAAGTCAGCTTTGCAGAGCAATGGAAGCCCTACGGAGATGGTCTAGTCAGTGGATGAGATGGAGAAATGTCTAAGAAACATTACGTGAAAAAATATGGCAAATAACTGGACGGCTCAAGACCATTTTCACTTAAAGGTATGTGCAGACTGTGTACGTGACCACAGACGCAGGACGTGCAGTTGTGAGGTCTGTACACATTCACAGCCAATGCTCGCACGCACACGCTTTACTGATTGCGCTAACAGGAGTGATTGCGGAATAACAGAATTACCACTGATTTTCTTTCGGCGTTTTCCAGATTGCCTGTGCTGGAGACACGAGCTTTCCTGGGGCTACCGTGAGGCTGGGACCCCAGTTTCCAGAGCCCTTTTCCACCCAGAAGGACTCCAGAGCCGATGCCCCGCCCACTGGGACTGGGCACAAGCTCCCCAACCCAACAGGGTGCCTGGGAGTTCATGGCGATAAAAGCGGAAACATCAACAATGCGCCCGTTCTGGTCCGCGACCGCTCCTCCCTCAGCCAAGGGGAGCCTCCGTGAGGTGCTCCATCTCTCCCACAACCTACCACGCAGGGAAGGGCGGGTGGCGGGTGGCTGGCCAGGGCCCCAGCAGCGACAGGCAGCTGGCCATTAACAATGCACGGGAGTGGCAGCTAGCCCCCACACAGAGGGTGGGGGAAACTGGGGTGCAGAGTCACCTCACTGGAGGAGTGTGCTGCGGGGGGGGGAATGGGGGCAGAAACAGGAGGAGAGAGTGCCCTGGCCCCACCAGTCTCCTGGTCCTGCACCCTGAAGCCAGCTGAGGCCAGACATAAAGCGAGTCATTCATCCTTCCTGAAGCTCAGATAAGAAAAGCGACAATAATTTGTGTGTTTCAAGTTCACGGTGAGAATCAAATGAGAACGTGCAGATAAAGGGCCAAGCACGGGGCCTGGCACACACTGGGGTCCCAGTCGATGAGAGCGCCCCCTCCCAGCTGCTTACATCCAGATGGGGTGGTGCTCTGCCAGAGAGAGGCGGGGAGGCCACAGCTCGGGGTCACGACCTAGGCTGCCCCCTGACATCACCTGAGCAGCTTTAAAACGGTCAGCTGAGGTCTTTTCTTTAAAAAAAAAAAAATTTTTTGATTTTTAGAGAGAGAGGGAGAGAGAAATAGAAATATCAATGAAGAGAGAGAATCATGGATCAGCTGCCTCTTGCACGCCCCACACTGGGGATCAAGCCCGCAACCCGGGCAGGTGCCCTGACTGGGAATTGAACCGTGACCTCTTGGTTCCTGGTTTAATGCTCAACCACTGGGCCACACCGGCCTCGCAGACCTGGGGGGCTTTAGAAACTCTGACTTCGCTGGTCAGGGGAGCGGTTGGGCCGTTGCGATATTTTTTAAAGCCCCAGTGCATGATGGGCTGTGCATTACTCACGGCTTGTATGAATGGAGCAGGAGCCATCATCACTGCTCCCCTCGCCACAGTCACTGAGCAATTACGGCATGGCCAGGGACGAAGCTAATTGCTTGATATACATAATTTCATTTAATTCTCATAAAACCCTGCCTGGTAAGGATTATCCCTCTCATTTGTCAGCGAGGACACGGGGGCCAGGAGAGTTAATGAGTCACGTGCACGCCTCAGCTTCCAGGCAGTCGATTGGGATCTGACCCCAGACCTGTCTGACCCTAATGGTGGCCGCACCAGGGGCGAGCTGGGGAGGCAGCCTCGGTGCCAGGGGCAGAAGGGGCATGTGGGTGAGGCTATAAAGGCCCGTGAGAGGGCCGCCCCCGCCCTGGGCGCCAAGGCAGGCCGGCGTGGGGACCTGAAGACCAGACCTCACCGAGAGGGACGTGAGAACTCGTAAAGCCCCGGTGGGGGCAGTCTGAGCAAAGGCACTGGGGTCATGTGGAGCACCGAGCACTGACGGGGCAAGCAGAAGGAAGAAGGGACTTAGTGCAGGAAGTCAACAATGCCAGGTCCTGTACCGGGTTCACTGCTGCTGGGCACTGCCCTTGACCCCTGAACCCGCCGGGCAAAAGCAGCACTCATCAATGGTGCCAGCCGTGCCTCCCTGGCCGGGCCCAGGGCCCTTTCCGATGTTCTGAGTAGCCTCCATCTACATCCTTGTTATTTCTCCGGCACCGAGCCCTGCTCTGTGCTCCTGGCTGCAGACACACGCTACTCCCCTCTGTCCCGTTAGAGCCCAGCCCTGGACATCCGGTACCTCCCTCCCAGCCCCGCCCCCGCCCCCGGCAGCTGGAAGGAGCCCTGAGCCCCCGCTCCAAGCTTAGGAGCCAGGCGGAGTGGCTCCTCCCCAGGCCCGATGCTTCCCTGTAACCGGGCAGCTAACCAGAGGGATAACGAGACATGCGCGCGGCAGCAGCCCCTGAGATGTGTTGGCAGGAGCCAGCCCCTCCAAATCAAGACGCTGGCACGGCTCTCCCAGCCACTCCGAGGGCAGTTACCATCTGTTTACGGAAAAATGGTAATAACCCCCATCGTAATCAAATCGGCAACCACTCTGCCCTGAGTGCCTATTAGCTGGTGCGGACTCCCGGGGGGCGCTCCCGGGACCCGACGCCCCTCCAATCTGGGGCTGACAGGCAGCGCTGGCCCATGGGGTGCCCGGGTGATCCCAGAGCCCGGCCAGGCCGTGGCAGGGCGGAGTGGGTGGGTCTGGGGAGCTGGCCAGCACTGAGACGGGCAGGGGGCTCGTAGCACCCGCCCTGGGACTCTCCGTGGAGCCCCCCTACATCTTACCCTGCTAGGACCTTCTCCCCACCACCCCGCGCGGATGGGCAGCAAGAAAAGAACCAAGTTACTCAAACAACGTGTCCGCCTGCCTGCCCTCCGGTACCGGAAAGAAACAGGTCCTCTCATTGGCCTGCAAATGCAACCTTCCTCCCAAATCACCCTCGTGCGCCAGCCCGCTGTCCCAGCAAAGCCATGGGCTCCCAGTTGGGTCCTCGCAGATCCCAGCGCAGCGTTCAGTCCATCATCACCAGCACAGTAGCCGTAAAGGTGCAGGCGGGAGGAGGCCCCTCCCTCCGAGAGCCGGGAAGTGGAAGCAGCATTGAGGAGAGGCACGCACACACACACACACACACACACACAGACACACACACACACACACACACGAGACCCTGGTCACCGCGAGGCCGCCTTACCCTTCATCCCGAACTTGGACCGCCGGCCGTACTTGTTGATCATGATGAAGAGGACCACCAGCAGCACGCAGGCAAAGGCGGCGAGCCCCACGGCGATGGACACCTGGGAGGGAGGGAGGGCCAAGCATCCACAGTTACTTTCTCGCAGGAGCGCGCAAGGAGCCTATAGACCAGGGGTGGGGAACCTCCGGCCCGCGGGCCGTGCAAGGCCCGTGAGACCATGCGGCCCGGCCCTGCCAAGGCGGTAAGGGTGAGTTCGTTCGATGTTTAGCTGAACGCAGCAGGCCGGTTTGTAAGCTGACCATGGTGTACGGCCCGGGAAGGACGTAAACATCCAATGGCCCTTGCAGAACAGAGGCCCCCCGGCCCTGCTTCAGAGGCAGTGAATGATGAGGCCCTAACAGCCTCCGGTTAACAATGACCCACCCCGGTTAGGGAAACTCCAGTCAGCGGCTCGGGGTTCTGAGCCCCTGGCAGGGGGGGGGGGGGGGGGGGGGGGGTTGGGTGTGCTTATAAATGTGCTCGGAAGCCTCGCGAGGCCTCGGTCTCTCATGTTGTTACTGTTTAGTTAGCAGGCCAATGCTGGGTATGCACGTGGACGTTCTCTACAGAATACTCTTACCAAGGAATTCTGGGAGATCTGGACTCTTCCCCGAGAAATCTCAGGCCCTGGCAGTCGGGGGTGGGGGAGGGCTTGGACACCCACCCACCCAGGAGCTGCTGGGATAACTGACTTCCTACGAGGCCGGCAGAGTAAGCAGCCTCTTCGAATCACAGGCCTAGCCTGGCTGCTAGCGGAGGACGGGGGGGGGGGGGGTTCCCGCTGCTCCCTCCCGGCCCCGGGCAGGGAGCAGAGCCCCAATGCTTCCTCAAACAGTGAATTACTCTCCTCAGACAAGGGAGGACCCCGTGCCTGGAAGGAGGTCGCTGGTCAGGGCCCTTCCTGCCTGACGTCCCGGGCTCCGAGTGGGGCGGAATCGGAGTGTCCACTGCTCGGATGAAACGTGAAAACGGCCTCCTCCCAGCCCAGTAGTAACTCACCCCAAAAGTGTCTTCCTCTGGCTTGTGGGTCACAGTGATAGGCGGTGTGGGGCTCACTTCGTAGACTGAAAACCGAACGGAAAGGAGGAGGGTTAGCTTCCTGGCCAGGGGGGCTCTGTGCCAGCCCCACCGGCTCCCCAACGCCCGGAGTCCATGCTGGACAGCATGCCCTTGAACCTGCTTTTGCTGCCTGACCTCCCCAGAGACCCAGGCCCCGCCTGGCTGCCCGCTGTGACCGCCAGGGGAGGCTCCATGGGGAACGCGGGACCTTCACCCCCACCCCATCCTCAGAGCAAAGAACGGCACCGGGCAGCGTGGGCCCCGGGCTGTTGCATAAAACAGCACAACAACAACGAGAAAACAGTTTGGGGTCCCAGCCAGGGTCCGGATCCCCCAGGTTTTGGTGGTGACGGTGGCTGTCGCCAACTGTTCTTTGCTGCAGGCTTTTTCCGTCCCCTTTCTCGGTCACTCGGACATGCCATGCCGGGCGGCCAGGGGCCTGGGGCTGGGCAGCCTGGGGCAGAGGATTATTTGGATTCCATGGTGACCCAAAGGCTCAGAATAAACCAGCTTCAAAGCAAAAGGCAGAGCGGACTTACTGGAGTCAAAGGGATCCGTGCTCTCTGCAAAAGAGACAAAGAGGCTGTTAGCCAGCGTCATCAGCAACGGAGCGGGGCGCACTGTGATCTTAACAGCCACGACCTCCCCACTCATGGTGACCCCACGTTACCCCAGCAGCTGGAAACACAAGTCCCGGGCACGTGACCCCGGCCCCACGCCCCGCTGCCTCCGTAGGAGGCTGGTCTTCCCAAGGCAGAAGAAATGAACACAGAGTTCCCGATTTCAAGAGAAATGGCCCAGCCCAGCTAGGGACCCAGCTATGAGGTGGGGAGTTAGTCTGAGACAGGGTCCCCGCCTCCCGGTCGCTGACACACGGGGGACCTTGGTACACTAGAGTCCAGAGGAGTCTGCTGCATAGGCTTCCCTGGGTGCCCCCCAGCTGTGACCTCAAGACGGCATTCCTCAAACAGAGTGCGGAGGTCATCCGAGCAGGTCACTGTGGCATCCTTGGGACCCCACAGGGTCCCGGCCCCGATGGCACTGTGTGACGCCGCTTAGCCACAGCGGGGGCTCGCCTGCTGATGGAAGCTTAGCTGTGAGCCCGGGGCTATGCTAAACGCTTTCTGTCCGGTGCCGCTCAGTCCTGACAGCCCTCCTAGGAGGGAGGCGGGACTACCCCCCGTTTAACAGGAAGGAAACAGGCTGAGAGAAACGAACTCACTGGTGCGATCTCACTCGTCTGAAAACAGGACTCGGACCCGAGCCCGGGCCCTGGCAGAGGGACTCGGAACCCAGCCTGAGGCAGAGTCACCCAGAGGGTGCTCACCATCGATTCCCCAGTGAAAGGAGTGAGGGCCCCGGGAGAAGCCAGCATTTCAGGAAAAGGACAGGCGTGCTTGGCACATTCTGTGCCACCGGAAAGTGAGAACGTGCTCAGGAACTCATGGGGCGTGGAGGAAGGACACGGAGCCGTGTGGGGCGGTCCCCGACGGCCGGCCCTGGCACCATGTGAGCAGCAGAGTGATGGCGACAGCCAGGGGCTGTCACACGCTGAGTCACTCCCGCCCCGGGTTTATGCGTGGCAGTGCTGACCCCAGCGCATTAGACTATGACCATCTGAGTCAGTCTTTAAAGAGCTGATTAAGTGAAAATGAGGTCATCAGGTGGGCACTAATCCAATATGACTGGCGTCCCTATAAAAAGAGGAGATTGGGACACAGGTGAACAGAGGGAAGACCTGGGAGGACATGGGCAGAAGGCGGCCGCCTGCAAGCCCAGGAGGCAGGCCTCAGGAAACCAGCCCTGCTGACACTTGACCTCTGAGGTCCAGCCTCCAGAATCGTGAGGAAGTACATTTCTATTGTATAACCCCCCCCAGCCCCTGCGGGGGGCTCTTGTATTTTGTTAGGGCAGCCAGGGCCAATGAACGCACAGGTCATAAGGCATAGGGCAAAATAACTATCCCCGAATCCATACCAAGAGCAAATAAATAACTGAATGGACAAATGCGGAAAAGAGAAAGCTCTCCCTTGCAGCAGAATTCCCGTTAGTAGGCGCAGGGGGAAGGATGAGAGCAGACAAATCACCACTTGGCAAACCGCACAGGAGTCATTGTCGCACCCGCACCCGCTCCCTCCAGGCCCCAGGCTTCTCTTTGGAAACCTCTCACACACACACACACACACACACACACACACACCCGGGAGCGGAGACCCTCCTCCGAACAGAATCCCTCTCCGATCATGAGACGCGCACAAGCAGGGACAGGGCCACGCAGCCCTGTGTGCCGGGCAGGTCCACGCTCATGTGGCAGCCATGGCAACCCCGCACCCTAAAGGCCACGCCCACGGTGCGGGCCAGGACCGCCTGGCTCCCAAAGGAGAGCCGGCCTGGCCCGCCTGAGGTTCCCGGGGCCTGTGTCTGGGCAAAGTGGGGATGATGCTGGAAACGGGGGCCCAACAGGACCCCTGGGGACTCGGACATCAGCGCGTCGGATGCGCCGTGGCTCCATCACGCCCTGGACGTCAGTGGCAAGAAGGCCGCTTCCCATGTGGCCTGGTTTCTCCCCCGTCTCACCCTCGGAGCACCTAGCTCGAGGTGTGTTGGTTTGTGTGTGTGTGTGTGTGTTTTTTTTAAGATAAACGCGGCTGCCTGGCGCTGCGGCCCTGGTTCTCTGTGGCTGTTCAGTCACCTTCACACAAGCAGATGCCGCACCGAGCCAGCCTCTCCCTGCCTGTGTGCGTGTGTGCGTGTGTGTGTGCATGCGGCAGTAAGCCAGAGAGAGAGAGAGAGAGAGGCGACAGACTTTACACTTCCCTTCATCTCATTAGAACCCACGATTTCTGGGGACCCAAGGCCCGGAGGTCACCCAGCATGTTCCCGGCACAAATCGCCGAGGCCGGCACAGGCACACGGCTTCCTTAGCAGCAAAGCAACGGCTGCCGACCCCCCAGGGAGAAGCCGCAGCCGCTTCCCCCACACCCCTCCCCCGTCAGGAAGGTAACAGGCACGTTCTCGCCCAAACAGAGACAGAATCGCCTCCCAGGTATCCTAAGGTCTTTCTTCCATTGCTTCCGTGACTACCCAGGTGCGGGTGACATTAGCGATTCGCGACATCCCAGGTGACAGCATCAGACACCCCCATCGGCTCAGCACGGGGGGGGGGGGGGGGGGCGGGGGGATGCGCAGACCCGGAAGCCTGGACCCTAACCAGCAAGAAGGAGGAGGCTGGCTCATTCGCCCGTCACATGCAGAGCTGGGCAGAGCGGCCCCACAGCCCCCGCCTCCCCCCCAACAAGGTCACTGAGCCCTCACTGTGTGCTTTGTGCCCCTTAAGCCGTTTAAGAGATTCGAGGTCATTACGGGAGCCGTGCAGTCGTGCCCGTCCCACAGGTGAGAAAACAGAGGCTCTGAGAAGCAACGACTGGGCCCAGTGTCTCCCGACAAAGACAGGGCTGGGTCAAGAGTCTCTGTCCTCCTTGTCCAACTCTCAAGACCCTGCTTTCTCCACCAAAACACGCTAAGGTCTCCTGTGCCCGACCGGGTACCTCTCAGGGGTCGTGGTTTGAACGGCGACGGCTACTGGAAACCAGACACTTCATCTGTTTTACACACGACGCTGGGGGTGGCTGACTACGCTCCCGCGGACGTTTGGTTGCCATGGTAACAGTATCACCGCGGCTGCTGCCTCTCCTCTCCAGCCGCCAGGCCCCGCCCCTCCCCCCCGAGCTCCCGGATGGCCTCACCCGGGAAGGGCTCCTTGAGGAAGTGGCCGTTGATGGTCTGGTTGGCGGTGCCCAGCGGGTTCTTGGCGATGAGGGTGTAGTTGCCGTTGTTGTAGTGCGTGGGCTTGTTGAAGAGCAGGCAGCCCTCGGACACCTCGCCCTCCTGGTAGAACTCCACGCGGATGATCTTGGACTCGCGCAGGGGCTGCCCATTGTGCAGCCAGTGCAGCGTCGGCGGCGGGTTGCCGCGCACCATGAACTCGATGCAGTGCTCCAGGCGCGGCTCGGGCTCCTCCAGGCTCACCACGCGCGGGGGGTCTGCCGGGGAGAGGCCAGCTGGTGCCAGGACACAGAGCTCCCAGGAGCCGGCCCGGGAATCCCACTGCTCACCCCCACCCTGCTCGGAAAAGACTCGGGGATTCAGAGTCCCCCCTTCCCCACATCACCCCCAAACAGAGCGGAAGCGCCCTGATCTCCAGGGCTGGAGTGCTCCCTCTCACGACCTTTCGGCCGAGGGGTCAAACTGGAAGTCGTGAAGGCACAGCTGAGTGGGAGGCACCGGCTTCCGACGGGCAGGGATGCCCCTTCCCGGGGTCACTAGCCCAGGACTGACTCGCCCCTCCTGGCGGACCAGCCCCCTGCCCGGCGTGCACACAGCCACCCCCTCCGTGCGTCCACTCACAGTGGACGGTGAGGGCGACGCTGGCGTTGCTCATGCCCACGACGTTCTCCGCGATGCACGTCAGGGAGAAGCCGTTGTCCTCGCTCGTCACGTTGACCAGCGTCAGGTTGATGGCGTGCACGTTGGTCCAGTTTAGGTTTGTCTGAAAGGCCAGTGAAAAGACAGCCATCAGACAGTTTCTACACGGGCAGCTCCCACACCTAACCCCACACAGCTTCTGGAGTCCAGGGGAAAAGCACAGCCCGGCCAGGGTGGCTCGGTGGTCGAGCGATGACCTAGGAACCAGGAGGTTACAACTGGATTCCCAGTCAGGGCATCCAATGCCCGGATGGCGGACTCCATCCCCAGTACGAGGCGTGCAGGAGGCAGGCAAATCCATGCTTCTCTCTCATCAGTGTTTCTATCTCTGTCCCTCTCCCTTCCTTTTTCTCTAAAAAGCAATAAAAACATATCTTTTAATAAAAGGAAAAGTTGAGCGGAGGATAAAGAGGGCTCCGCCAGCGAATGCACACAGCCCGAGGGCCAGGCTCTCTCAATCAAGGGCTCCCTCAGCCTCACATGAGGTGCCTGGCAGCGCTGTACCCATTTTACAGGTGAGGAAACTGAGGCCCTGCATGTCTAAGATCAGGTCTCCGTGTCCTTCCTGGAGAGACGGGCCCACGACTCTCTCTCTTCCCGTCTCTTGCTTGGACTCTTGCGTCTCATTAAGACTAAGAGCTGGTGGGCCCCAGCCTCCCGGTGCAGCCTGAGCCGAGGTGCCGACCTGGTGGGTGTTGATGGACTGCAGCCCGGTGACCATCCAGTCCACGTCGGGCAGGGGCGAGCCGGAGCCATTGCACGTGATGACGGCGTTGTCGCCCTCCCGCACGGTCAGGTTCACGTGGCTCACACTGATCTCCGGGATGTCTGGAGGCGGGGGCAGAGAGGACAGGCAAATACTGACTCCCAGACGTGGCCTGGCCCCAACGACGACGCCCACGTCGCCCGCTGGGGCTCTCAGGAGCCCCCGAGCCCCGGAGGTCACACCGCCTCCCAACAGACATCACCCGGGGGACTCTCCCACACAGCCCCGGGGTGCGGGGGGAGGCAGGCCCAGCGAGAAGTCAGATGGCAGAGCTCCGCCTTGGGGAGCTGGCCCTCCGAAATGAGCTCTGAGATCCTGGGGACCAGACACCTGAGGTCAGTCCGTGCTTGGGCCCAGGCGCCTGCCTTTCTGCAAGCACCTGAGGGTCTGGGGGCCACACTGTAAGGACTCACGCTCAGGTCTGGCTGGCAAGTGACTGCCAGGCAGGAAGTAGTGGGGTGTGGGGAGGAGGGGCGCACTGGACCCCTCTCTGCATTCCCGAAGCATGGCTGCTCAGGAGGGGCAGGAGTGCCCAGGAGGGGAGGGCGGAGGGGGAAGGGTGTCCTCCCGGGAGAGTGAGGGACGCCTCCCTCCCGGGGCCAGGGGGCGGCGCCCTCACCACACTGGCTGATGTTCATGCGGGACAGGGGCAGCTGGGCGCCTTCGGCGCTGATGCAGTAGAGGTTCTGGCTGTTGAGCTTGGCCTCGCCCTGCTCCTGCCACAGCTGCATCCAGCGGATGTCGCAGCTGCAGTTGAAGAAGTTCTGCTCCAACCTCCTGCAGGCGAGAAGGGGGGGGGGGGGAGCTCCTGAGCCCAGGCGGCCGGCTCCTCCCGGGGGCGGGAGGGTAGGTGAGCTGTCTGTGTGTGAGACAGGCCAGCACGGCCACTGACGGCATCTGTTTCCTTCCACCCTTCCCTCTAGGACCCGATCCCACGGGGAGGACGCACGTGAGACCCGCTCCTCTCCTCTGCCCCAGAGCCTTCTGGGAACTGCCCGCACTTTCCTGCCTCCCAGACAGCGAGGCACACACACAGCATGAAGTCTCAGCACAGCGGCCCTCGCTGAGCGATCCGGAGGGCAGGTCCAGGCAGAGGCAGGGCAGGAGCAGAGCAGGACAGGCACTCGGGCTGGGCCCAGGATGTGGGAACTGAGGAAGGGGCCAGGTCCGCTGTTCACAGAGGAGCACATGCCCAAAGGGCCAAGAGGCCAGCACGGGCCGCCTGACAGCACCGTCCGGTGGCAGGAAAAGTACCCAGAAGCCGTGGGTGGAGCCAGCTGGTCACCTCAGGCAGATCGAGTGCATTGACGAGGGTCCCCCGGCCCAGGGGACGTGCCAACTCCTCAGCCCCAGCGCCCGCGCAGGCAGCCTGCGTTAGACCCACGGTCTTCACAGACGTGACCACATCAAGGATTGTGGGATGGGGTCATTCTGGATGTAGGCTGGCACTGTTTTATTTTTTTTTTAAATATATTTTTTATTGATATTTTACAGAGAAGAAGGGAGAGGGATAGAGTTAGAAACATCAATGAGAGAGAAACATCGGTCAGCTGCCTCCTGCACACGCCCCCAACTGGGGATGTGCCCGCAACCAAGGTGCATGCCCTTGACCGGAATTGAACCTGGGACCCTCTAGTCCGCAGGCTGATGCTCTATCCACTGAGCCACACCGGCTAGGGCAATGACTGGCCTCTTTATCGGGGAAAGTGGGGAGAGAGAGACCAAAGACAAGGAGATGGAAAGGATAGACAAACAGCGAGAGAAGACGGAGGCAGGTGTTCCACAAGCCATGGACCCTGGAGCCCAGGATGGCTTGCTGATTTCTCAGAGATCCGTGGGGAGCGGTCACAGGCCAGGATAGCTCAAACCCATCCCAACCCTGAGCTAACACTTTACCAAGTCGATTAAACCTGCCAATTGTACCAGGAGTACGGATCACTTTGCTTTAAAAAATGAAGTATTCCTAGCTATCTGAATCATGTCTGCAGGGCATGTGTGCAGGGCATGAAAGGGAAGGTCCCCGGGGTATTTCTGGAGGGCTCTGGGCCATCCATTTCTATCCCCCGAGCCTCTTGCCTAAATTACATCATGGGACACAGAATCCAAGCTTCTCTTCTTTCCAATTCATTATCTCTGAGAGAATCTCGGATTCTTGCTCTGATTTCTGGCCAGGCCGTTCCAGTCTTCCCTGTAAGGAAAAACACCATCTTGCCTTAACCAGAAACTTCTGAGGGCACTGAGCAGTGCCAACTCGAATCTCCTCAAAGCTGGGCCCTGGGACAGTGTTGACAGCTCTGAAGACGCTGCCAGTCCTCTCAGTGAGAGGGACACACCCTGGCCAGGTGCTGGGCCAAGGCCACAGCCTCCATCTCGCACAGAAGTAACTGAGAAAGGGCCTGGCCGGTGTGGCTCAGTGGTTGAGCATCGACCCATGAACCAGGAGGTCAGGGTTCGATTCCCAGTCAGGGCACAGGCCCGAGTTGAGGGCTCAGTCTCCAATAGAGGGCGTGCAGGAGGCAGCGGATCCAAGATTCTCTCTCATCATTGGTGTTTCTCTCTCTTTTCCTCCCTCTCCCTTCCTCTCAGTAGTCAATAAAAAGATATTTTAAAACAGAAAGAAATGGTTGGATGCCCTAGTTTGCCCTCGGTTCCTGCAGAAGGTCGCTGGAGCCTCGGCCTCCCCCTTCTGGCTGCCACAGCTCTCAGAGCCATCTCCTCCGGCGCGAAACCCTTCCTTCCTGCAAAGAGCCGGCCCATCCCGCACGCTGCCACGGGCCCACGGCCCACTGGCAGGCCCTGGCAGTCCGGTGGCTCCCGGCGGATGGCGCCATGTGGACCCATCAGAAGTCGGACAAGAAAGCACTGCCCCTCTCGCGCTGGCCAGGAACTGGGATTGTTTGCATTTCAATCACAGCCACAGCCAAGAGCCAACACGCGGCCCCTCCGGCCAAAAGATAAATTTTCCGCTCTGGCTATTCCATTCTTCCTCAAAAACCAGACCCCTGCCAGGGCGATGGCTCCTCAGAGGGGCTTCTTTCTCTGACGAGTGAATTCTCTTCCTACTTAACAGCGCGGCAGAGGGGGACGCTCCGTGGACAGGGGCTCACGTGCTGACGCGCGGAGGGAATGTCTTCATTCCCCCGTAAGTCACAGGCAGCGCGCGGTGAATCGATCCCGGGCAGAGATGAATGCAGAATCCCGTGATCCTCTGGGGGGAGCCTGGCATTTGCTTTAAATATATATCCTCGAACAACTGTCTCTAAAACTCCATGGAACCCGTCACTGGGACAGCGCGCCACGGATTTCGCATCCGTTGATTTTTCGGGACATTTTCTCAATAGAGGAGGCAATTGCAGGCCCCAGGTGTTTCCAGGTGAGAGCACCAGTCCCTGGCCCCCCCACAGGCGTAAGGGTCAGGCATTCCAGGGTAACTTGATGCAAGACTCCCCCAAAAAAGAGATTCCCCCAATGACCTCCCTTATGTCAGGACCCCTTGTCACTTCAAGGTCTCCATATGGAAAAAGTGTAAACACTCACTCTTTGAAAATGATTGTAGAACAGATCCTTGGATTGGAAACAGACGGAAAACATTGGGGAAGGGGGTGGAGGGTGGTAGAAGAGGGTAAAGGGTGGACAAATGATGGCGAAAGGAGATCTGACTTGGGATGTGTGAGCACACAGTACAGTGTACAGATGACGTGTTATAGAATTGTACTCCTGAATCCTATTTAATTTTATTAACCAATGTCACCATTTTTTTTTTTAAATAAATCCATTTTTTAAAGAAGTTGGGAGATAGCCGAGCACAGTGGGCAAGAGCTTGAGTCCATTGGCTATGCATGTAGTTAATGGGTGACCTTAAACAAGATACTTAACCTTACTCAGCACCCAGTGTCCCAGTGTGGAATGACAGTAATAACCCCTACCTATAGGATTTTTGTAAGGACTGCAGCAAGTAACGCCCATCACTCGATAGACTGGCACAGCCCTGTGGGACTAAGGAACCCTGATCCCCATGCCTATTGTGCCAACACAAGGTGGAAGGGCAACATCCTGAGAACTGTGCTGGAAAGAGCGTGTGAAATCAAGCGACGGGCTGACTGGCTCTCACTGAACATGGTACACCCACGTCACCAAGTCCTGCAGCCCCTTCAGGTGACGCCCAGCCCCGGGTGGCTCCACAACTGGACACTCCCCACCCACCTTCCACCACCACTCCGCCAGGCCGAGCGGGTCTCCAAAACCAGACTTACAATTCCCGAAGACTCAGCGTCTGGAAGAGCTGCCATGACAGTGTGGTGAGCCGGTTACTTGACAGGTTTCTGCAAGGGGGACAGAAAAAGGGGGGTTAAAGGGCAAATTGGGCCCAGACGGTGCTCTGGGGGGCAGGCTTGGCCATTGCATGGGAACCCGGCTTTATCATCCTCCTTCTCCTGGCCCCATCCTGCGACCCATCCGCCTGCCACTCATCCAGGCCACAGGCCAGGTTTGGAGGGAATTGTGAAGCCTTTCAAAGAGCTAGATTTCACAAATAAATTTTTTTCTCTTTTTTTAAAAAAAATAAATATATTTGTATTGATTTCAGAGAGGAATGGAGAGGAAGAGAGAGAGAGAGAGAAACGTCAATGGTGAGAGAGAATCATTAATTGGCTGCCTCCTGCATGCCTCCTACAGGGGATTGAGCCTGCAACCCAGGCATGTGCCCTTGACCGGGAATTGAACCCAGGACTCTTCAGTCTGAGGGCTGACGCTTTGAGTTTGAAGGTGAGTATACATCCATGAAACCATCACCATCAACAATGTCATACACTGAACTATCACCTCTAATTAAAAGTTTTCTTCCCCTCTTTTATTTATTTATTTTTTTTTTTAGAGAGAGGGGGCGCTGGGAGGAGGAGAGACAGAGAAAGAGAAACATCAATGTGAGAGAGATACATCGATGGGTTGCCTTCCGTACCCTGACCAGGGAATGGAGCCCACAACCAAAGCACACGCCCTTGGCTGGAATCAAACCTGGGACCCTCCAGTCCACAGGCCGATGCTCTATCCACCGGCCAGGGCCCCCTCTCTTTCTGTGAGACGAGCATTTAGCATAAGCTGCACCCTCTTAGCCACTCCCGGAGCGTACAATACAGTGTGATCACGCGCAGCACGCTGTGCTATAGGTCACTGGGACTTCTCACCACGGGAGCTCCGAACCTTCCCCCCAAGCACTGGGAACACCCTCACAGGCCGAGAAAACAGCGCACAGCACCTGCCTCCCTCCCTGCAGATGCCTCTCAGGGACCCAGACATCAGCCTTTTGTTCGCACTTCTTTTCTCCCCCTAATCGTCCTCGTTAGGATGTCCGGGGGAAGGAGCAGGCATTAGTCTTGGAATAAAAGAAGGAAAACCCACCGCTATTATTGCCACGCCAACAAACACCATGGGGTGTGATCGGCTGCAGAGGCAGCCACTCTGCGAGCGGGAGCCGAAGCGGCCCCAGGGGAAGGCTCTCATCTGGCAGCGATGACAGGTCAGGAACCACTCAGGTGAACACCTGCACGCGCACGCACACGTGCACACACAATGTGTGTGTTTGTGTCTGTTAGACACGTGGTAACTGATGCAGAGACACACACACACACACACACACACACACACACACACACACACCCGTAAGCGCGTAGCTCCCAGGTGCGTCTATATTTAGAGGGCTTTTCCCACAAATATTTGCATGGAGACAAATACGGGCTTCCCTGAGGAATGAGGGGGTGGACGCCTGGGAGGGCCCCTCTGGAACTCACGCTGGAGTCACAAACGAGGAGCCCCGAGAACGGCAGCTGTGCTGGGCGGAGGACCGGGACAGACCGAGCGATCAGAACCGGAACCCGATCTGTTCCCTGAGCCCAGGGAACAGAAGCTGGAAGGGGGTGAGGGGACGAGACCCGAGTGGCCCAGGTGGGGTGGGAGGACCGTCGGGCCGAGGCAGGCGCGGGCGGCCGGCCATGTCCCCTGGCAAAGGTCACGCTTTGCTATGTTAGGCAGAAATGTCACGAGAAAATTGGATTCTGAAAGAACTACAATAACAGGCATTCCGGGCAAATAAAGAATAAGAAATCGAATTATCGCACAAGTTAGAGGGGGCGGGGCGGGGACACTGCAGTGGGCACCAGCTCACCCAGGGGCCTCGGCTTCCAGAGCCTCCAGCCCTTGGGCAGACGGAGAAGCCCCCGCAGCATCGATTCCAAGCTTACTGTCCAGGAGTCTGTCCTTTCCTCCCTCCCTCTCTCTGTCTGTGCCCAGTCACTCTAGCTTCCAGCCCCTGAGCTCCCATCTGCTCTCTGTCCACTCGGTCAGCTTCCCCTGTTAACAGAGAGACCAGAACCAGCGGTCTGCTCCGCTTGCCTCTGAGGTGGATGCCACGGTCCCTGGCCCCTTCGGGGATCTCTCTGCTCTTACAAAAGGCCCTTTTCGGAGTGCAGTGTGGGCTCAGAGCACCAAGCACAGCTGGCCAGACACCGGCAAGGCTGCCCCGCCTGGCTGCAAGCACATGACGTAAACCTCATTCCTTCATCCACCGAGGCAGCCCTTCCCTAAGACCACCGGCCCCTCGGCTGTCTGTCTGTCTGTCTGTCTTCTCATTTCCCCCTGGAAGAAGCATCCCCCTGCCCCTCCAAGTCAGGCGGGGCTCTTCTGAAACTGATGAAGAACGTGGAGGCAAGGTCAGGGGAGGAGGACGCCCAGGGCAGCCCCAGCCCCACAGAGAGTGCGAGTGGAAGGAACAACCCGCGGGAGGAGTGGGGAGGCCGACAGGTGCTGCCCACCTCCCTGTGAGCAGGGACCCGACACCTCATCAGCCTTGACCTTGTGACTTCCGGCTCGGTCAGCCTCACCGCCATCCACCCCTCAGGCAAGCACCACGTCATCTCGTCACCACGGCCTGCAGCCAGCCCCGGCAAACCCAGAGCCCGCGATGTGCCCCTCGAAGGCGGAGAGATGTTTGTCTGCATCACTGACATATTTGCTTTTTCCTCAATTAAATTGCTCTAAAAGGGGGTGGGTGGGGGGAGGGGGTGAAAGCCATTTGAGCCATTTTTATTCAGCTAAATGGCACTGGATGGCTCGTTTAATGAACTTTAATGAAGCCAAAATGCTTTCTCTAATCAAATCTCAAGTGGCATGACTGGTGTCCTGACCTTCGATCAGGAGGCCTGAGGCGGCTTTTCTCCGAGGCCCTGCGCGGGGCTGCACCAGGGTTTCCCGGGGTAAGTTCCTGGGAATCGAGGGCTGCAGAGTATGGATGGTATGAAAAGAGAAAAAAAAGTCATGTTGCTTAAAAAAGTGTCCTACCGAGCAAAATCAAAAGGGCTTGCCCTGCAGGACTGCTCAGAGCCTTTATGAAAGAAGGCCCTGGCCCGAGGCCTCACACTCACTGGCCACAGCTTTCTCCGTGAAGACACCAGCAGAAACATCAGCCACACGGCGTGTCTGCAGAAACGATGGTTGTGGTAAGAAATAGAGGTTTGTTCTTAGTCCGTGGTTCCTGCTCACAGCTCCCCAAGCCCTTGGGGCTTCCTGAGAGAGAAGCACAATCAGGGCATCTTTGGCATAACATTTGGTCTCACCAGGGCGTGGCTCAGTGGCTGAGCATCAACCTAGGAACCAGGAGATCACGGTTCGATTCCCGGTCGGGGCACAGGCCCAGGTTATGGGCTCCATCCCCAGTGTGGGGCGTGCAGGAGGCAGCCGATCCATGAATCTCTCTCATCGTTGTTGTTTCTCTCTCTCTCTCTCTCCCCCTCACTTTCTCTCTTTCTCTCTCTCTCTCCTCCCCGCCTTCTCCCTTTCTCTCTGGAATCAATAAAAATATATATTTTAAAAACATGTATTTGGTCCTCCGCTCCTGAAATCACCTCGGAGAGTGAGGTGGGTGTGGAAATCCCCACCAGATGGAGGTGGTGGCCAGGAAAACCACGAGCAGTTCCAGGAAGGAGAGGGCAGGGTGAATCGGGCACCAATGGCCGGTATGTGCACACATGTCCTTTGGCTGATCTCTCCCATCTGTCACTGTCCATGCCTGGCGTCTCTCCCTTATCTGCCCATCTCCAGTCGCCACGAGTCCCAGCCATTAGAGAGAACACCCGAGGCCCAGGCTGCGCCGCTGAATTCAAGCGTCAACGAAGTCCCGGTCAATGAGGCAACACGGAAAGGGGGCTGTGCCCTTTTCAGACAAATCAACCAAAAGCGAATCTGCCCTCAGCACGTGAGCGGCCTCTGGGGCCCAGGGGGGCACGCCTGGCCGACACTGGGCACCCCAGCGGTGCCCACACACGGGCCCAGTGGCCCGGGCCTCGTGGAGGCTCTGCACGCAAACCACGTCATGGTGGTAGAGCCAGGACATCACACTGGTCCTCATTCGAGGGCCGCTCTGGGCCTCTCTAAACACACCTCTCAGGCCTCCAGCCTCCCTGATCGGAGCCGTGGGAGGGGAGCAGGCCGGGTGTGGGGCCGGGAAGCGCCTGGGAGAAGCGCTCCAGCTCCGGGCGATGGGGACAGCCCGGGAGCCACTCCCCGGACCTCCGACCAGCCTAGTGACCTTTCTGGTGCTAATCCTCACCCTGGGATATTTTCCTATTGATTTTTAAAGTACATTTTTATTGCTTTCAGAGAAGAAGGATGAGGGACAGAGAGCTAGAACCATCCATGATGCGAGAGAATCATGGACCAGCCGCCTCTTGCAACCAGGGCCTGTGCCCTGACCGGGAATCGAACCCTGACCTCCTGGTTCATAGGCTGACACCCAACCTCCGACCTCCTTGGCCACTTTCTAGCTCTGCGATTCCTGGCTGAGCCTCACCCTTCTCTCCTCGGAAATGGGCACATTTACTTGATGGTGAGAACGGACTGCAATAACACAGGGGCGCCCCACAGCGGGCCTGTCACACGGAGGTGCCCAGTGGCAATGGGCTACCAGCACCCATAACACTCACAAGAAGAAAGCTGAGAAGGCAACACCTCCTAAGCATCAGTAGCCAAGCAGGGGCCGGGGCGGGGCCCAGGCTCCGGGCCCTCAATCCCTGGGAGCAACGGGCATGTGCCGGGAACCAAGGAGGAACCTCACGCCAGACCCCCAGCCCACCGTGCTCGCAGACGCTGCTAAACGGTTTCCAATTAATTAACTGATTACGGGCTAGAACAGAAGGGGATTCGAAAGAGCGCTGTTGACCTTTAAGAATAATTAATATCATCAGGATACCAACCTCGTCCAAGGAAAACAACGAGGAACGTTTTCAGATGACAGTCAGAAGCCCGGGACGGGGAGGCAGATGGGCCTTCTCTG